TTCCCTATTAAATTGGTGCTTCCAAAGAAGGGGTAATTCTGTACTAACATACGTATACTGGAATATTAGAAGACAGCCAGCAGGAAAAGCCTTCTGCAGTGGGTGGAGTTCTGTAGCAGGCCCTACTCTGGGGGCAGGACATGTGGCTTTGAGTGCTGTGTTGCTGCACACTGGTCCTTGCCCAGTGCTCCTGGCTGAGGCTGAGTGAAGTGAAGGTTTCCTTTGTTCTGCCCATGAAGCTTTGCCCTGTGGACTCCCAGGCAGGTTTCTGCCACTGCTGTCTCCCTTTCCTCAAGGACTCCAGTGAAGAGAGCTCTCCTTGCCAGTGTGTTCCTGCTCAGGGCAAGGAGTGCTTGGTGTTGAATAGGTTATTGGAATAGGATCTGCATAGCCATAATCTTTCTTGTAGACAGCAGCACTAGATAAGGACTTTGGAGCAAGCAATCTCTATTGGCTTCTGCAACTCCCCTCTCCAAGCAACAGCTCACACTGGCTGCCTGTGACTGCCTGTGCTATGTTTCTGCTGGGTCTCACCTTGCATCCTAAACCACATGTCAAGAGCACCTTGGAGCAGCTGGTTGGGAACAGAGCTTAGGAAATCTCTGCTCAGATCTCAGCCTCCCTGTGGGTCATTCACCAGGGAAAGGGACTGAATTTCCACTGCTCTGCCCTGTTGGCAAAGTGAAGGGGAAGAGAAGAGTGAAGGGACCTTGCTGTGCAGCAGATCAGATGTTTGACGCCTTCAGTTGCAAAGCAGGTGAGGCATCACTGCAAAATCGACTGCTGCAAGAAGTGGGATCTGCCTCGTGTGTCCTTGAACAGCCCCAGCAGGGAGTGTGGCCCTGCTCCTCTCGGCCCTGGCAAGGTTTGCTGCAGTGCAGGACTTGTGGCTGCTCCCAAGCAGTGCTGACAGGAATCTTCTCTCTTCTCTCCTGGTGTGTGCTGTAATATATCCAACCCTGCTCCCACCGTGCCACTGCAGGGTGAGGGAGACACGTGCTTGGGTGGGGAGGAACCTGCTTCTCTTTTCTCCTCTTTCCTCCTGCTGTGAGGGTGTGCTTGTTTCTAGGACCTGCTTCTCGTGTTGTGTGATGATCCCAGAGGCAATGGCTGGGGAAGCAGCTGGCAGGAGCTTGAGCTGGAATGCCATTTCCCAGCTGGGAACACCACAGCACTGCCTGCCTGTGAGCCCACCATGCCTTCAGGGATCACCTCCCCCCTTCCAGCCAGGTTAGTGTGCCTCCATCCTGCTGTCCTGTCCTCTCAGAGGGGCTGGGTGGTGGTGGTGGCACTCCAGGCACTCTGCCTGTTGAGATCTTCTGGCCCTGGCACCATCTGCAGCCTCATGGCAAGGGGAGAGACGTGTTTAGCTTTTGCCCTAGTGAAACTCTCAACCCAAAAGAAGCATCCTGAGCTTTACTTGTACTAGTGATGTCCCCAAATGAGCAGTGTGGGCTTCAGGCTTTGCAGTGGTGTGTTCCCACCCTGTGTAGCTTGACTTGGAGGGTGGCAGTGTCTCTCCTCAAGGAAGCTTGGTAACACATGGTGCCTTATGCTGTCTCACCTCCTGCCCTGGCTGCCTCTCCTCTCCTCCATGCCTAGGGCAGAGCAGGGATGTGTTGGCCCTGTCCCTTCTGCAGGGTGAGACATGACTGTGGGACTTTGCAGCAGTTTTGGGTGGTCTTTCTGGCCTCCATCTAAATGCAAACTCACAAGGCTCATTTGATGCTCTGCTCCAGGATACCACCTCCTCTTCCAACCCAGCTGTGGCAGGAGCCAGGTACCAGGACCCAGGGCACCAGGGCAGAGACAGGGTGGCAGTGTATTTTGTAGCTGTGCTGTTTGGAATGTCTCCTGGAAGTGCTGTTTGACTTGCAGGCTCTCCTCTCTCCCATGGGAAGGGCTTTGAGGAGGCAGTGGATTCACATCTCTGACCTGCCACCTCAGTGTTGCAGCAGACCCTTGGCACAGGAGCACAGTCTCTCCTCACCCCAGCAGCACCCACTTGGGTTGGATTTTGAGGCCAGGGCAGGCTTTGTAGAGCAGAAGCACTGCTGGAGGAGGTGCTGGCAGGGATGTAGGCTTGTCTCCATGTGTTCCTGGGGTTGGACACTGCTCTGAACATCAGGGCTGGATGGACAGGGTAGGTTCTGCCAGCTTAGAGGTGACAAGGGCACAAGGGGAACCGTTGGAAGGAATAACCAGGCAGCTCATAGTGATCAGAGCAAGATGCCTATGCAGAGAGCAGGGAAACCTTCCAGGCCAGTGCAGGAAGGACTTCTTCCCTTTGGATCAGAGCCTTGATGGGCCTTCCTGTGCCATCCAGGTTGGTGCATGGCTTTGCCCTAAGTGGTTGTCACTGGCTCAGTGTCCCCCTGCTCTGGCTGGGTATGCACCAGCCACCTCTTCCCTGTGGTCTGAGGGACACCAGGGAATGCTCCCCAAGCCCTGCAGCAACATGTGTGATGCTCAGTGCCTTCCGCAAAAGCCTCCTCCATCCCTCTCTGCTTCCCCAGAAGCCCAAGCAGATGTGCAGGAGGGGATCACCACAGCTTTAGCACCCCAGTGTGGGCTTTGCTTCCCTCTGAGCCCCAGCTGTGAGCAGGGCCAGCCAGGATGGTGGGATTGAACTGGCTCTTCTTTCCCTTCTAAAGGCCTGTGAGGGCCTGTGACTAAAGGGGTCAGCCCTGAATCTGCATCTCTTAAGGAAACACGATACATATGGTCAGGTTTACATTCACAGTGTTAAGTTCTTTTGATAAAGCAGAATAAAATTATTTTGTTACCATTTTTTGGCTGGGTTTATGTGCCTTAGGGCTGGCGTCACTGTAGGCACAGGGAGAGAGGTGCCCTGCAGTGACATTGCGTCTTGTGGGTGTCCTCAGCTGCAGTAACTGGGAGCCCCATGAGCAGCCTGTGCTCAAAGTAAGCCACAGCCAGGATGGTGCTGAGCATGGGGGGACTCACTGCAGCATCCTGCAGCTCCTGTGGCAGCCTCACTCCTTGTGGCTAGCAGATGCTGCTGTTTGGCTCCCGTGGCTCTGGCACAGAGCTCAGCTCCAACCCTTCTTCCCCCTTCCCTGAGCCCCACCCTCCTGTCCCCCCTGCCCAGAGACACCCCATGACACCACTACCTTCAATCTTTATTGATATAAAAGTCTTCAACCTAAATTATATCAAAAAGGGGAGGCCTGGTTTCACAGCAGGTGGCTCAAAGTGGTCACATAAGGGTCATAAATTAATGGCTGCAGTAGAAAGCCTCCCAGGGAATTCCCTTTCAGAACAGTAACCCAAGGGATAACTCAGAGATAAAAGCTCGTGGGGAAGCCAAGTTTGGCTTGGACCTGCCAAAGCCTCTGATGACATCCCGTTGTGTGGTGTCCCCAGCTGGGGGTGGTGTTCCCTGGCACAGTCCCCAGTGATTCCAGGAGCTCCTCGCTGCAGGGAGGCGGCAGGAGGAGCAGGACACATTCAGGACGTCGGAGAGAAGACAGCAGTTCCTAGGGCACAGGAGAACCTGGAGCAACATAGGGCATTGTCCCCACTCCTGGTTTCCTTGGGAAGCCCCAGCTGACAACTCCCTGGGACAGCCACGAGGCTGCAGAGTCCATTAAGGCACAACTGGAGTATCTGTAAACACTGGTGTCCCCCGGGGAAGGTCCCACCAGCAATTCAAGTAAGGGTGGAAGTGAGATGGTGGCTCCCCAGCTGTGCCATGCACCCAGCTGTGCCACTCCTCAGCCAGGTGTGGTGTCGGATGGAGCCTCCTTGGTCACCTCCTGGCTGGGAGTGCATGGAGCCTCCTTGGTCACCTCCTGGCTGGGGGTGGCTTCAGGGCCACCTTTGGGGGGACACCCCGCTGAAAGGCTGAGGTCGGTGTCGGTGGCAGAGATGGTCCTGATGGCCCCTGGCCATGGCATGGCACCTTGTTCTTCAGTGCTG